GTTGGTGGGGGAGTAAGGCGTGGGGTCCCGTTCCTTCTGATCTGGCCTTCCTCCTTTGAAAGGCTGTCCAGGAGCTTCCACGGAGCACTAGTCCCACCACACCAATTCTGGAGTTCATGACAAACCCCGCCAGGGCCCCTGTAGCCGTAGGTGTCCCAGAGCCCCAGCTTCCCACTCGTGTTAGTGATGATGAGAGGAGCCAGCTTAGTGCCATGCATGCCACCTGCTAGCAGTCTGAAGGACCCTGAGGCTCCGTTCACCTGGGTTACTTAAACCTGGGGTGGGGGCGGGGCACAGGGGGCTGTCTAACAAGCCCTTTAGAGAACTGCTGAGCTAGAGGTGACACTGTCCGGATCAGGGCAGGCTGATCTGAGCTGGCTTACCCCACTCTGTGAGCACCTTCAGTCCGTGGGCTGGTACTCCCAAGTGACCAAGCACTGCATTCTCAGAGCAGATGGGCTGGCTCTGCCAGCATGGCAACCTTCCCTGGCCACGGAACCAAGCATGTGCGTGCAGCCATACCACCTCACAGACAACTCCCATGCTGCAGGGACTGCTCTGGCTCTGCCTGGAGTCCAGTTGCCTGACCAGGCAGGGCTCTTGCCAGGTCTTGGGGAACTAACCTTAGGCCTCACTCAGGATCAGTGTCTGGCCCAAGGTCTTCCATGAAAAGCCCTTGCTCCCAGCTGGAAAAGGGTTTACCAGATGACTTCTGAAACAAGCAAGCTGCCAGGCTGGGCCGCAACAGCCTGCACCCTACCAGCATTCTGTACACCCCACACACAGGCCCTCCTGTTGGGTTTTGTCCATGCCACTGCAGGCTGGCCTACACTGCTGACTCCAGGTGGCACCTTGAGGCCCCACGACTCCCGGGGATCTGGGTTTGAGTTTACATCTATAGGGCTAAAACCAAAAGCTTATGAGGTTCCGGTCAAACATGGGACTGTCGGACTCCAAGGCCAGGCTTGACTCCAGTGAGGGGAGTCCTCAAACCTCAGCTACAGCACACAGTATGCTTGGGGTTTCCACCAACCTTTGCTGAAGTCCTCTGAAACTGGGGACTGTCTGAGCTGTTATTTGGATCCCAACTTATCTAAATCTACCAGGACCTACTGCCAGGACTCAGGACATGGCACCCAGCCAGCCTCCTGCCCTGTTCCCCTCAGTGAGTAACAAACCAGATTTCTCCTCCCCAGGAGGGAGGGAAACTCAACCACCTCTGTCTCAGTCACATACCTGGACCCGTAGGAAAAAGGTTCATGTCCCAGACCTCCCTGTGCAAGTCAGGGGCACCTGTACTTGCTACCACCCCAGCCATTTGGGGCAGGGTGGGCTAGTGTGAAGGCCATCAGGGTCCTTGTCCCTGTCTCCTGTGGATTAGTACAATGAGACCACTTCCTTTCCCAAAGCAGCAGTGTAATCTAGAAGACCACTCTCCCTCCCTTCCAGACCCTTGCTCCAGAAGGCTTGCCCTCTGCCCAGGGAAGAACCACTGCAGAGGCCCTGCAGGCCCAGATATGCCTCGGTCAGAGTACACCCTTGTCCAGCTGCACTGTCCACAGCTGCCATTTTATACTGGACCTAAGTGTCAATACAGATGGTTTTCTGAATCTTGGGTCTTCAGTTTTTCTTTCTTTCTTTTTTTAGTTTTCAGAGGCTGAGTGTACTCGCCAGAGGGAGACAAGAGTGGGAGAAAGACCCCCCACCAAGGGTATGAACACACACAACCCCTTCTCTATCATTGGGATTTGGTGCACACAGACACGTTTCTCTAGCTGCCAGTGCCAGGATTTGAACTGCAGTTAGTCATGTGGAATCTGGATTCCCTTCACCAGGCTATGGGGCCAGCCCAGGTCTTTCTGAAGACTCTTTAATCATATAAAACTTTGATTAAATGTCATGCTTTTCCTGACAGACTGTCTCATCATAGGACTGTCTGGCATGACCCTAGTGATGGGTAAGGAAAGGCACCACACTGTCCTGCCCCTGTAGCCTCTCTGGAGAGGGACTGCACCAGAACGTGGCTGCTCAGCGGTTCCTGGGGGAGGGGAGTGTCCAATGCCACCCTGAATCTGTGGTGGCACAGGCCTGTGGGGCTGAGAGTCAAAAAAGCTTCCCAAGGAGGTGCAAAGCCAGGCCTCCTGGGCCCACTGGAGTGTGAGGGAACCTGAGTATGTGTCACCTGCAGTGTGTGCAGAGACACCTGGACATAACTAACATCCCTCAGCTTGAACCTACCCCCACTGCAAACCAGACAACTGGACAGTGCGCAGGCTGAGGCTCTGGCCCTATTGCTCCTGCCAAGGGGAGAGGGCAGGTCCATGGGCTCTTCCATGGTGGTTCAACCTGCCTACTGAGGCAGGGAGAGCTGAAAATTCCTGGTCACACTCAGGACTGGAGATTTCTTTCAATTGTAGTCGGTTGAAACAGAAGTCCTGTGGAAAGCAGCCAATCAGAGCAAACATGGTGACTTGTAGACACAGCTAAGAATTGAGCTGTCATTTGCACAGCAAAGAAAGTCATTTACATGTGAATATGGTAGCCATACCTGCCTGAAACTGCAGAGCAGTATCAGTCTAAAGGAAGTCACAAGTGCTTAATCAAAATTTACCCGAGAAAGATTAGAAAACCTTACCTAGAACTACACAAGGCCAGATGTCCTCATCTCAAGGTGATTAACATCTGAAAACTGACTTTGCATTTCATTTCCTCTTCCCCTCCTTTCCTGCCCTTTAAAAAATAAATCTGGGACCAGACTGGTTAGGGGCTGTGGCTAAGGGCCCACCAGATCCTCTCTTTTTTATACTTGTATGTCTTTGTGTGTTTATTCTTATGCCTATTTCTTTTTTTTTTTTAAGAGAGATTTTTGCTATAGGGCGTGTGCGCTCGCCAGACAGAGAGACATAAGAGACAGAAAGCGAGAAATCACCCCCCAGGGGGGATGGCCACGCTGCAATCCCTTCTCCTCCATACTCCTCTCGGGATCTTGGGCACGCACGTACACGCGTCGGGCGTGAGTTTTAAGCCACCGGGTCCGGGACGCGAACTGTGGTCGACTACATGGGAGTCCAGCAACATAGCCATTACACAAACTGCTGGTCCCTCTTATGCCTATTTCTAATCCACAGCTCCCTAATTCGGAAAAACGTGTTCTGCCAAATGAGTCCAGTCCCGGCAAAGTGGCACCTGAACATGCAGCCCAAGTACAGGCAAACTATAGAGTCAGGCGAGGGCACACTCCTAAGGCCGGCCAGAAATAACTGAGTAAGGTAAGGAACCAATAGAGTAAAATAAATACATGGGAACCAGCAGCTAGCGTAATGGCTATGTCGCTGGACTCCCACGTAGTCGACCATGGTTCATGTCCCGGGACCAGTGGCTTAAAACTCAAGCCAGGCGCGTGTGCGTACATGTCCAAGATCCCGAGAGGAGAATGGTGCGGTGTGGCCATCCCCCTGGGGGTGACTTCTCGCTTTCTGTCTCTATGTCTCTCTCTGTCTGGTGAGTGCACGCACCATATAGCGAAAACCTCTACAAAAAAAAAAAAAAAAAGAGTAGGGGATAACAGCAAAATCAGGAGAAAACAGCAAGAGAAGGAGTGGGTTCTATTAGCGTCGGATGTAAAAATGCAGATGTAACTGTCCAAAGATAGAGATACGTTTGTTCAAACATTTGATTTGTTAAAAGCTAGGGCAGTAAAGTTATTATTGAGCAATACTGAGTTTCTGAATTTTGTGCAGGAAACATGCCCTTGGTTCCCAGAGCAAGGAACCGTTTGAGGGGATCTGGGACAAGGTCAGAGAACAGATCAGGGAATGATATAAAACAAAAAGTCCTAGCAGGAGTCCCGTTTTTGCCTTCTCCCTGCAGAATTTAATTAAGGAGCACTTGAGACAAAACCCTCTGAGCTTGCTTAGTAATGCAGCTAAAAAACAGCCTGGAGGGGTATAGCTCCTTCCTACCTAAGAAATCAGTCTGTAACTAAAGACAAGGATAGGGAGGTAGAACTTGGTCATGAAAATGACAGTGTCGTAGAGCCAGACTTGAGTTGTAGATTCCAAAGCAGTCGCAGAGTGGGAGGACAGTCACTGCCCTTGCCCTAGAGCTCCCTCCCTTCCCAGTCAAACCTCCTGGTACATCAAATGACAGCTCATGGAATCCGCAAAACCACATTTCTGCACATGTCCGAAGGTCACCATGTTCGCTCTCCAGAGGGTCCTACTGGCAATCCCGAAACAAGCAAGGGTAACCTTATTTGCAAAAATGGCCCACAGGTGTAAATGGGGATGGCCTTGGATTTCCAGTGCCATTCCCTCTGGAAGACACAGACAGCAGGTAGACCTCCTGCAGGCGAAGCCTGATGTGCAGGCTGTAAGCCAGGGAACACCAAGGCTTGCCACCAGCCACGAAAAAATAAACTCTCTCAAACGGCCCTCTGAGAGAAAGTGACCCTGCTGACACTCTTACTGTGGACTTCTGACCAGAAGTGTGAGAATAAACTTCCGTTGTGTTTTTGTTTTTTTTTTTTGAGAGATTTTCACTGTAGGGCGCGTGCGCTCGCCAGACAGACAGAGAGAGACATAGAGACAGAAAGCGAGAAATCACCCCCCAGGGGGGATGGTCACGCCGCAATCCCTTCTCCTCCATTCTCCTCTCGGGATCTTGGGCACGCACGCACATGCGCCCAGCGTGAGTTTTAAGCCACCGGGTCCGGGACACGAACCGCGGTCGACTACGTGGGAATCCAGCGACATAGCCATTACGCTAACTGCTGGTTCCCTAAACTTCCGTTGTTTAAGGCCCAGCTTGGGGTCATTAGTTGCCGTGGCCTCAGGACACTGACACATCCACCACAGGATGAGTGTCCTGAGAGCTGCCTTGGCTGAAATGAGGCTGCCACTCCTTGCCGTGGATGGGAACCAAATTCACCTGGGCACCTCAGGGCAGGAGACATCCAGAGAGCAACAGGCCCACAATAAAGCTCATGTCTGGCCAGCCACAGTGCAGCCACCTTGGTGTTGCTCCGCCATGCTGGATCCACGTGGAAGACTAGGCTCAGCTCCGGGCCAACCTGTACTCACCAGGTGTGCCGATGCCCGCCAGTGCCCTGGCTGGCCTGGGAAGCTGGGGGAGGGCTGAGGCATAAGGCCACGTTGATGGTGCTTGTCTCTCTCGTGTAAGCTTACAAAACAAAGCCAAAAGAAAATGCCAACTCTTGCTTCTAACTGTGGGCTCAGATCTTATCATACTTCCTTCACTCACCTCACCATGTGGACTAGGCCACACCACTAGGGTTTTAGAAACTCAAATGAGTTGGAGCTGGCCTGCAGCCAGGGGACCGTGTCTTATGGCACTGTGCAGCCCAAATGCTTGGACCTAGTGGTCAGGAACAAACCCCAGTAGCACCGTCCCCCATGGCAGCAGGGCACCCACCAACCTGCAGGTCTAGCCTCTCCCAGCCCTGGGGACAGTCTTCTCATTCAGAGGCCAGACGTCAGGAATTTCTGCATTCTGGGTGCCTCAGTTTACCCATCACTCCAACTCAGCAGATCACCCCACCACCGAGGGCCACACTGGGGTCCTTTTGCTCCTGTAAGAACAGACCACAGGCTGCCCAGTGTCACCATCCTCCACCTCCTCACCAGAGTGGGCTAGCCTTGTGGTCAGCTGCTGGCTCTGTGGGTGTCCTGGAGCCAGTGCAGCACCTTGGCCAGGCCAGTGCCTTCCCGGGCACTGATTTCTGCAGTGGTGATGTTCTGCTGGGCACAGGTGATAATGTCAGGGAGCCTGACTAGCGACTTCATCTCCTCCAGGGTCATATAGCAGGGCAGGTCGCTGCAGTGAGAGAGGCGTGCGTCAGAGCCAGGTGCGGCGGCCGTCTCCCAAACTGGTTCCCTGCCCGGCTCCCTTCCAGCTCAGCCCTACATTTTGTTGAAGAGAATGAGGACGGAGGCTCCTGTGAGTTGTTCTGCAGAAAGGAGGCCCAAGAGTTGCACGCAGGATGCAGAGAGCTGGGTGGGGTTAGAGGCGTCCATCACGAACTGGGGAGGGAGAGGAGGCGTCAGTCCTCTGCTGTGGACCAGAGTCCTTGGCCAACCCCCTCATGTGCGCATTTCAGCTCCTTCTGGGAAAGAGGGCTTTGGGGCCAGCAGGTGGCATAGTGGTTAAGGTTCTGGACTCTCACATGGTTCACCACAGTTCTAGTCCCAGACCTGGCAGTTTGAAACTCATGCTGGGCCTGTGTGCACGTGTGCTCAGAATCCTGAGAATAGAATGGAGAAGGGATTGCTGCGTGGCCATCCTCCTGAGCGGTTTCTCATTTTCTGTCTCTCCAGTGAGTGTACACACCCTATAGCAAAAACCTCTCTACAGAAAAATAAAAAGAAGCCTTCAGGAACACAGTATAAGTAGACAAACGTGAATCATGCGAGGATAATGACTCCTTACTCCACCTTCGTGGAAGTCCACCACCCCTATGGCCCTCAGTTCTCCATCTTGGGTGTGGGGCACAGGCCTTGTCAAGACCGAACCAACCAGAGGAACAGAGAACTCGATCACATAAAGGTTCCCGGGGACAAGGCCAAGAGTAGGTCAGCTGTGTGCAGACAGCAGGTGCCAGCAAAAAGCAACTGGAACCCTGGAGGCCTCTGGGAGCCCAATCCCCACCCTACGCAAAGCTAGGCCGCAGGGATGCATGGCCCACGCTTGGCCAGGGAGTCGGACAGAATCAGGGGCAATAGACACATTCCCAACCAGGGGTTAGAACCCACCAGGAGAGCGCGGCAGTTCCCGTAGTAACTGGACCAGATGGGGCCCATGCACCCTCCCAGCTCCCGGATGGTTATCTTTCTCGGGCCCCCGATGTCCGTGAGGTCGGTGCCCACCTGTGAGAAAAAGCACGCTGCGGAGAGAACATGAGCGCTGTCTGTCCCACCCCAACTCCCGGACGCAGCGCACTGGCTCTCCAAGACCCCCCTCCTCCCCGCCTCTGCGTCCGCCCCCACCCCCACACGGGA